ATATTTTGAGGAGTGGCGTATATACTTTTTGTGTATTTTTTTACCGGAAAATTAAATTATTTCTTCACAAATGTAAAACCTTGAAACGTAAATTCTACCTACCTAACACACATGGACGGTTCACCAACCCTTGTATTTGCGACTTAAAAAGCAGTTTCGTGTTTGCAAAATTTTAAAATGTATCAACAAAATATCAAAATATATTTAGGGTCACGAAAATTATGTATCATACATTCAGATATGATTATATACAAAAACAACTTTAAGCAAAAATATTCTCGAAAACTACGAGACCGTTGTTGGAAGCACAGGAACTCGTTGTTGATACGTAAAAAATAAATAAACCACCTATATGTAATTCTCTACTTGCAATAACGTGTTCATGGGTTTCACCGAAGTGGTAAACGTCTAAGACCTGCATCACTTCGGGCTTTCCTCACACATTAAGCTGACACGCCGTGATATAACTGGAATACCGTTAAAAGCGGCGTTAAACCCAACTCACTCACTCACTTAATGACACATCCTTCACGAACCCCCCCAAGATAACAAGTTAATACGTGATATCACTTGTAAGGTCAAGGGCACATGCACACATTCAAACGTGTCAAGAGCTTCCAAGTAAAATCTCCTTAACGCGTCACGTGTAATCCGTCAGGTGATATCACGTGCATCACAACACGTTCGAACCGGTCTGGTAATTCCTTGGGAAAGAGCTCCCAAGGAAAATCTCAGGCCAGGTGTTATCCAACACAATTACAACCATGGGCAATGACCGAACATGTTTATAGTACCACGACACCTTTCAGGCCAGGACAACACCCACATCGCTAATGCTACAAAGGAAACTATATATGGCAAAGTGAGTAGGAAGAAGCTACAACTCAAGTCAATTGAGACCACTACAAACAGCGGTCGCACAATCTGTCAGAACTACCGACCACGTCATGATACATCTATCATTGCAACAGCTGACTATACCCTCCAACAGGCAGCGTATGGTAAGATCTGGGTGGACACCAGAGGAAGACGCCACAATTAAACAAGAGTCGCGGGTCTCCCTCGTGTACCTGAAATCGATACGAATGCTTTTGGATAAACATCCATTGCTTCTGTGGCTTAATAGGATACAGACTATATCAGTATGAAACTAGGAGAGGAACTCCAAATGAATCATTGGACTTTGCAGTTATATGAACATGAAATCACACCAACACCTACTGAAGAAACAATGCGTGCATTGCTTAAAGCGATGCTGATCATTCAGGGTATTGACACCCTCACACGAAGAATCATATCAGACAATAGATCCCACCACCCTCGCTCTTCCCCCAAGTCAAATTAAAAACATCACATTTTTAAAAGTAATCCCATATATGATATACAACGGACAAATGTATCAGAGAAGGTAATTTTTAATCATTTATGTCCAAAGAAGGATTTTAATTAACGGTGGTAACCATAATTTGTTCCAAGCACCTACTGTATTCGGTAATAACTTCAACAGTTTAAATCATAAGTCCCAAGCACGAGAATCTGATGGCACACAAGTTCAGTAGCGTGTATGGCCACCATGTGCGTTGACAACTGCCACACGCCTCCGCATGGACCCTGTGATGCTTGTGAATACATGATTGGGAAGACGACGCCATTGTTGCTGCAAAATGGTGCCAAGATCTTGCAAATTCTGTGGTTGGTTCTGGAGAGTGCGCAGACTTCTGCCAAAAGCATCCCAGACGTGTACGATAGGATTGAGGTCGGGAGACCTTGTCGGCAAGACCATGACGTTGACTCCCGCATTCTGAAGGAAATTCCTTGTCAAAATTGATGTGTGGGGTCTGGCATTGTCGTGTTGGAAGATCAAACCGGGTCCATGTGCTGCCATAAAAGGCAGAGGTTCTGGTGCGAGTACCTGGTCGCGGTGAGCAGCAGCGTTGAGGTTGCCACGGATGACAAGAAGCCTGGAACGTGCATTGCCACAGAAAGCACCCCACACCATGACACTTCCGCCTCGAAATCTGTCAACTTCCTGTGCACAACACTGGGCGTAACGTTCATGACGGCGCCTTCACACCCTTGCCCTACCATCAGCAAATCGAAGATTAAATCGGGATTCATCACTGAGGACGACTCAATTCCAATTCCTCTGAGTCCATCGTAAGTGTCGCTGTGCCCACGATTGACGTTGACGTCTGTGTAATTGAGTCAGAATCGGTCCGCATTCGTGCTTGAAGGTGAGCAGTTCTCAGACGGTTTCGAACAGTTTGCGCACTCAGTCTACCCCTAAACAGTTCATTTCTGGTTGATGTAGCCGTCAAAAATCGGTTACGGAGGTGACGTAAGACAATCTGACGATCCTCTGCATGTGACGTCACACGTGGTCGACCTGGCCGAGGGCGATCAGCGGTGGTACCCGTTTGCTGTAGACGCGTCTGTAAATCATAAACAGTCCGTCGACTACAACCCACCGTCCTTGCGACTTCAGCTACGGACGTTCCCGTCTGCAACATGCCGATGGCACGTTCACGTTGCACATTTGAAAGGCGTGGCATGACAAATGGCCGTAAAGACTTTTGTTTTCTTGTGTTTTTCTTTTTTTGTTAATGACTGCTAACAAGTATGGCTGAAAACAAGTGCGGTATTATGGCCACGTGACCAGTTGCACGTGAAAAAAACACTTTTGCCACTATAGTGCTGTGCACATGATTTTGATCTATTCACCTGCACAAAAACGGGTGTTATCTGAAGACAATACATGGCTATTACTGTTTAAATACAAAATAAGGGCCCACAATGATAACTGGTCAAAATGTTAAAATTTTAGGATTGTGAAGTTTTTAATTTGGTTCAGTGTATTTAGAATTTAAAACAAAAACACAACACTGATTATAACTTCATGTAACAGCAATTGTGACGTCATGCGACAGTCATTTTGACGTCATTTCACCCGCTGGATGCCGAGCCTTTTCGCTAAGATCTGAAAGGTGAACGTTGTGCTCACGCGACACTGGACCTACATCCGGCTATGAAATTACGCAGATATGTAGCATATTAAATTCAGTGGGAAACCAACAAACAACAAAGAAATGGTATACAATTAACCATTGTATTCTAAAAATAACTAGGTTTACAAATCAATTCAAATTACTGCACAGAAATTACGATGACAGTACACAATAGAGTGGCAGTACAAAATTCAGGGCAGGACAATTACAATGGCAGTATAAAGTATGATGGCAGTGGTCATTAGGTTCCCCTAGCAGCAACAGTGCTCAAGCTTAAAAAAAGGCCTAGGCTGAATAAACAATGAGTTAAAACAATGATCTTCACACATCAGCTGGTCTTGATGTAATGTGAGATGAGAGAGGCATGCCTTTGCCCACTTATAATATAGTCTAAATACCTTCAAAAAACTTTCACATCATTTTGGATTAGTCTGTAGCTGTTCTACAAGATTCCAGACCGCGTTGGATTTCAAAAGCATCTAAATATCGTAACTTCCACACCACTGCTTATATTCGACAATACTACATTGTTGACAACTAACATTTGTCACAACCCAATGCTATCCCACTGAATCTCAGAAGAAACAAAGTAATACAATTACAACATTGTTTAACAATACATTACACTGCCGTATAACATTTTAAACTATTATGTTTATTAAGATGATGTACATTTCTGTGAAACTAGTGGGAAATAAAACATGAAAAAAGAAAAACGAAACTCCCCATACCACTAATGCACTCGAGTTCTTGACACGTAACATAAGACAAGAGACAGGTGCACGGATGCAACAAAGGCTCAGTTGACTACAGCAAAACATACCGTAGTTTTTAATTCTTGGGGGACTGATACATCAAGTAGCAACAAAACTTTCACCCATGAGGCAACAAATATGAAACGCCAACGTCAGAGAATAATCAGTCTCGAGTAGTGCTATTGTTTTGTGAAGTTGCGATCCTAGTTGGATATAGTTCATACAAACATTATATTTTAAATAAAGGTGGTTGGCAGCATGATGGTCGTTTATTTTCATTTGATGTTTTCCTATTTTTACAGCATACTCAGACATTTTAAATTCTCAAACTATCAACGCTAAAAAGACAACATATACATTCATTTTACAAACCTCCAGAATTGTACCTAAAGTGCTTTATTTGATTATGATGGGTATTAGTTTTTATAGCTTGGGTGATTCTCAACCCTTCATATTCATGTTTTACGTCTAAAACCCAACTTCCGTAAAGGAAAAATCATGAGAATCAACAGATCCGACCTAAACCATGTTATGGTTGATATATCATTTCGCTAAAGATTTGCATAACGACCTTTGGTTGCGTCAGTTTTACTTCCACAAAAAGCACGTTCAGAAAGGCCAGTGAATTCCTGGACGAGATTCAACTGGAATAACAAAAACGTGACGTTACATTTCTAAAGAGTTAATCACTTTTTAACGAATTCTGAACAATTTGTATATTTGTACCCCCCTTTCTTTTTTACGGCCAGAAGAGGGTTGGACGAGCTACCAGACGAACCACGCTCACGTTTAGGTTCGATGATATTAACATCAACAAATATTGATGGTTTTGACTTAATGTGGGTCCTTTAATAGACCTTCATAAATGGAAGGCCAAGTAAGAAAATCGGCGAGTAAAAGGCGGTGAATATAACATGAATGGTCACTGAAATCAGAGATGACAAGGTGTTCACCACACATTATGCCTTCCTTGTTCTCATCACTATAAACATGTTCGGTCGGTTAGGTTTTATTTGTTTTCTGGTCTTATATTATTAATAATGATAACCATTCTAGTGGCACTGGGTTAAACACTATTTCCGTAATACCATTTCACTAGGAGCAGTTAACGAAACAATTATAAAGGCAATATTATCAAGAAAATATTTTAAAAAACACGGATGTTTCGTGAGATCTTCACGCAGAGAGGTATTGAATTGGATATTTTGATATATCGGAGATTTGGGAGACATTTTTTGGCTCATGTCGGTATGAGAAACAATTTAACTTGTAATAGTGAGTAGTTAGGAATTCCTGGGTACCAAAACGTTTCATTAGGGACGTTGAACAGGTACCCGTCATTTGGCCGAGTTAGCGGACCTGTAGGGTTGCAGTCCCCACACGCCGTGAACCACCACGCCCCCTGGTGGACAGCGGCGCAGTTCCTTCCGGGGTCGTCGTCGTTGTCGACGTCAAAGGTGCTGAACTTCTTCCCCTTCATGGGCGTCAAGCAGTCCCCAATATCATGCGGAGGAGCTGTTTCCCAGTTGTAAGCGAAACTCATGACATAGCCCGTGGATTCGGCCCCAACCGTGAACATACTGTAGGTACGTTGTCTGTAACATATTGCAATGGTATGTGTTCAATGTATGCGTATTAAGCCATGGCCTGAGGCCAGGAATTGTTAACAGTATTTTAACATACATGGTAAAGGGTGTTACCTTGTCTAATTATTATTATTATTATTAATGCATATTATGATATAAAAAAACATTATTGTACCAAAATTAACTGTTAATTTATTAGATATCAACATTTTTAGTAACAAGTTTTGTTCTACTAATCACTATGGCTACAGACGAACATTGACCAATCAGAATTCAGGGGCAGTATTTTGCCCGGTCATTCAACATGGCCGCGCCCATGCTGCAATGTGTTTGTCACATTTTACATATTGAAAACGAACCTCTATCTGCAGTTACTGGTGTCTCTTTGGATAGAATATGTGAATGTATGGATATATGTATAGACCTGGATGGGTTAGAGAGGCAAAAAGCAAGACAATTTGAAGAAAAACGCTCGGAACATAGTTGGTGTCATCGGGGCTCCTATCAGCTGTTCAATGATAAGAACCGAATATAACAATTTTAAGGCCTCAGACGGAAGGAGAAGGGGTTTTCGTGATGTTATGATGTATTACCAATTGAAACTTCCACCGCACTTTTATATCCCAGTTTTGTGCACACACCACTAGTTCAAGATGGTCAATACATGTTTTTCCACAGGAATTCATTCTTTGCCGCAAAACAAAATGTTACAAGTTAGAAAGACTAGCCACTTGTTAAATACAAGCTGAAAAACTGCTAGAAGCAGCTAGAGAAGGAAGATGAAAATAGTCTTAATTCTGCCTCTTACTATCCTGAGTATAGTAAAGGAAGTATGACGTAACAATTTCACAGACTGACCATGTGGGATCGAACGTAAGTCTTTTTTATGTAAGGCCTTTATTATGGACACTGACCAGAAATGGGAACACTAACTCATCTTCCCGAGGCAAGTGAGTTAGCTGAATATAAAAGTCCAGTTTCTACACTTGCCGACTAGGCTGCAATTATGGAGTTACATTTTGGCTGGACTAACGAGTCTATGCATAGTCCAATCAAAATCGCGAAACGAACTAGACATCCGGTTCGTAAACAACACGGATTTCAACGTACAGATTTCGGTGGACTGTAGGATTTGCACAGCATGTCTACCGCCAACTGGGTTTCGACAGATATTTTGCAAATTCTTTCATGTTTTTATTCAAGGTGCTCAAGTGATTTGATGCACTTTGCGGGGTAAAACCCTTTTTATTACAATAGAGATCATCGTGATTATCGATCAGACCGTCTTCAACTGGGCGCCGCCATTTTGTTCGAAGTAAATGCAAGTGATATGAGCGATGGAATCTGAATGGTCAGTAGGAGGAACATAGAAGGGACATAACTCGTAATAGCCACTGGTGGCGCTACGACCGAGTCTGGAAATTCCTACATAAAAATAATTACATCAACAGAAGTACGATAACCATTGGCTATCACTGCGTTCTCATTGGACAATATGTGCAATGCATAATATACACTTTCAATTTGAATGAACATGAAGAAATTGACTTTACTTGATTGACATTTATGCTTAGAATGCGTACATTATACTGATTTATTTATAAGGATAGGCGTCGCTGGGCATTCTAGATTCTAGTTTGGAACATACGAGAATACGTACATTATACTGATTTATAAGGATAGGCGTTGCTGGGAATCCTAGTTTGGAACACAAGAGAATACGTACATTATACTGACCCGGCAAGTAGCCAATGCACGTAAGGACCATATACAGGCTCCAGCAACGGTACCAGGCCACCAACACTACAGATAATCGACCACATTGTGGAAGACCAAGGGTCTCCACCCGACGTCAGGATCGTCAGATCGCTTTCAAGATCGCTTTGTTACTGCTGCGGAAACTGCTATTTAGTGCGGACACCGTGCCTCGACGATTGACGAGCAGACACCTCCACTGTCACAGGCCACACCGAGGACCCATTCTGACACCACGTCATCGCCGTGACCCTCTTCAGTGGGAAACACAGCACCAGCATTGGCGCCACCAGCAGTGGAGAAGATTCCTCTTCTCAGACGAGAGCCGTTACTGTCTCAACATCAGATGGCAGAGAGAGAGTCTGGCGACGCCGTGGGGAACGTTATTCGGATGCTTGTGTTGTTGAGAGAGACTCGTGGGTGGTCCGAGCATCATGGTGTGGGGTGGAATTGGTCTTGCACAGAGGGTCGGCCCTGTGGTCTTCCAGAACATCGGTCCATGGAGAGGCAATGGTGTCACAGCAGCTCGGTACATTGATCAAGTCTTGAGACCACACGCCATACCTCATTTGGCACGTCGCCGCAACCAGGAGTTTCAGCATGATAACGCCCGAGCCCACACTGTGAGAGCAACAAAAGACTTCCTCCAGCAGAATGGCACCAGAACCAAGCAGTGGCCTGCCCTCAGTCCCGATTTAAAACCTGTGGGACGAGATTCAAAGACGGCTGAATGACGTCCGACCAAGGCCGACAACTGCAGCTGAACTGCGTCAGGCGTTCCTCAGAGTCTGGGCTCAAGTGCCTATGGCCTTCATCAACCGCCTCATCCATTCCATGTATTGACGTTGCACGGCAGTCATCAATGCACATGGCGGACACACGAAATACTGACTTGTGATGCCATTTTCTCAGAGACTAATGTTGTGTTTCACTAAAAGATCATTTGACACTTTAATTTCAACCTTGATGATCTGTTTTGCAAAGTTTCATCTTTCTAATATGTATCAAAGTATGTTTACAGTGTTTGGACAAATAAGGTTTCTCATATTTCTATCCAAGGTTCCTTTTTTTTGCGGTTCAGTATAGTATGGATAGTACCGCTGAACACCAGGAAATATGTACATTATACTGACCGGTAAAGATAGATGTTACTTGGCATCTTAGTGTGGACTTCCGCTATCAGATTTTGACTGCGCGAGTTGGTCAAATAGTGCACGTTGTCCAGCCCCAACCAGAACTCCTCATCCAAATCTCCGAAACCTCCCTTGTAGGCTGCCCAGTCTCTGTAGAAGTCCAGCGTCCCTGGACTGCGCGCCATGATGTATGTCCTGGTGTCCCATGGGTTTTCTTCACAGAACACCAGGAAAGGCTTCGGAGACCCATAGGGGTGGATCATGGCAACGTGGTCGGGGGGTAGAAATCCCCACTCCGTACCCTCAGCACAATCTGGATTAAAGAGGTTATGGGTGAGTGGTTGAATTAAAGAGGTTATGGGTGAGTGGTTGAATTAAAGAGGTTATGGGTGAGTGGTTAAATTAAAGAGGTTATGGGTGAGTGGTTGAATTAAAGAGGTTATGGGTGAGTGGTTGAATTAAAGAGGTTATGGGTGAGTGGTTGAATTAAAGAGGTTATGGGTGAGTGGTTGAATTAAAGAGGTTATGGGTGAGTGGTTGAATTAAAGAGGTTATGGGTGAGTGGTTGAATTAAAGAGGTTATGGGTGAGTGGTTGAATTAAAGAGGTTATGGGTGAGTGGTTGAATCAGGAGACAAACATGCTTTTCAAGTGGGACATGCTTACTTTTTTTTTCAGTAATCAATCATACAATTTTCCTTTTGCCCCAAATGGCATCTCTTTCGTCGGATAATCGAGGATAGCTGTTCTCTGGCGTAGACGTTTTATATTTAGTGTAGAGCTTGGGTACATATAGATTTAGCCGCCCTTACTTGAATTTCGAACCGAATGCCCTATTGTGATTTGAAACCTCTGATTGACCAATCAGGTATTTTCCAATGTTTTCCAATAGTCGTCTAAGGCTCAGCAATTCGCTGTGCAGAGTAGCGTCCCTTGGGTACGCCAGAAACCTATGATTGGAATATCACTTCAGTTATAACTCACTCACCAACTCACTCACTTCGTAACCTACCAATCCACGTGTACAATAATGCGACAATCATATAAGTGTGTGCTAAAACCTCATTGGTTGTGAAACGTGATTTACGGTTAATATTCTTGATTATACATTGAACATTTGTTGAACATTAAACATTTGTTTTGTATGTGTCGATAAGCTGATCACTACATTGGATCCCTGGGTATCGAGACCGTTTCTGTGGTGTAGTGGATGTAGAGCGTCTGCCTGAAGAGCGAAAGGTCGGTGGTTCGATACCCGATCTAGACATAACAAAATACGTTAAATGATGGTACATGTTGTTGTCCCGCCTGGAGTCGGTATGCTGTGTCAGAGTACCCATTATAAACTGCGGCATGTTATATCAGTGGGCTAGCTCTATAAAAAAACAGCATCATTTCTGACTTAATGGCTGGTTGTTTTATAAACCCTCCTGATAACTGTTTATTCTTGATAAGAGTGAATGCTGTTCTTATCTTGATTACTGTGGCCTGTAAAATATCTAATCTGGACCAGGGACACCAGTGGTTGACAGCATGAGCAACGATCTAGGCCATTGGAAACATAGGTTACAAGATGGTACGTGTTACCCTGTCCGTTGTTGAGGGAGGGGGGGGTTAATGAATGGTGGAACAAAGTATCAAATAAACAAATAAATTGCACTACGGTAAGTTCATTCTCTCTCTAGAACATTACATACTCAGCGGGGTTCAAGGGGAGGGGGTGTGAGTAAAATCACACCTTATGAAGTTTATATAATAAAATACGGGGTGTAAAGAAGGGCAGAAGTCCAGCATTTCACATATTGTGCTTTAAACAGTAAACTTCAGATGCCATTTGTATTCAGTTTTGAAAAATTGTCCTGAACGCCTGCAAATAGATATGTAGCTCTATTTGTCACCTCGTTTAGTAACAAATGACCCATGGATCAAGACATTGGGACTTTCCTTAAGTTTTTCATCATCATCTGACCTTCCTCGCAGTCCGACAATTGTTTTTATCGAACCACGTTTTTATGTTTATTTTGTGTACCCCTGTGTCTCATATTGTGCATTATCTCGTTTATTGTGTTTATTTATGTGTTTTACATATGCATAACGTTCTGACTGATGCCGATTATGTCAGACAACACCAGAAATGATCCCGAGTAAAAGCACAATGGTGATGACCGACCTGTGAATGACTGAGTGTCATATTGCTAGTTCAGTAAGTATTTCCCAAGAGAGAGTACATTCCCTTATTACAGACACTTTGGCAATGAAGAAACTATCCGCTAATAGGGTTCCCAAAGTTCTGACATTTGATCAAAAACGCACCAGGCACATCATGTCACGTGATAATCTAGCTGTTTGAAGCTGATCCTGAAAGGTTCTTGCTATGATTTGCGACAATGGAAGAAACTTGGGTTCACCACTTCCAGACTATCCCAAACAACAATCAAACCAATGTAAGCATTTGACATCACCGCCACTAAAGATGTTGTCATCATGGTGGACTATCTCCCCAAAGGCCAGGCAATAAACGGAGCATATTATGCTGCATTAGTGGGGCAATTACGGGAAGACTAAGAGACTTAAGAAGCTGTGAAATGGTATGCTCCTTTAGCACCCACCCCATATTCTCCTGATCTGGCTCCTTCAGACTTCCATCTTTTCCCAAACATGAAGAAAGCTATAGGCAGAAACTATTTCGATTATGGTTGATGCATGTCATCGTATTCCAATTGTGTGAATCGATGCTCATGATGTCAGTCACGGGATTGTCTGGTTCAGACTCGATTATTTACAGACCGCCGCCATATAGCTGGAATATTGCTGAGTGCGGCGTTAAACAACAAACAAAAACAAATCGTAACTTGAATATTGGCCTGAAACGTTAAACATCAAAACGTAAACAAAAAACCTTCAAGGTGAATATTTATCTAACCTAGCATCAGTCTTTCACAGCGAAGTCCAACATAGCCACCAAAGCACGTGCAGTTTCCGCTTCCGGGAACACGAACACCTCCGTTCTGACAAGGCGAGTTGAGCTGAAACGATAATAGGCAAGTCTTGGAGAGCACGGAGCTGACAAATCACGAATCCAAGTCAGGCCCAATCTGGGATAAGAACCTAAGATCATAGTTTACGCCGAAGGGACGCAACTGCGATATGCCGCGCCTAACATGGATGTGTCTTTGAATAGGCATGAATATATAACCTGAATTAGAAACGTCAATGGTTCCGGGGTATTGATATTTGTTTTTCTCTGTCAAAATCTAAAGGAAATACCGGGGTGACCAAATAAGACAAATTGCCGTCGGGAAAAACCCGGGAAAAAATATATTTAAATAATATACAAACATTTAATATTTTTATAGGGTATATTTCTTAATTTGTGTGTCTAAACTAAACAAACGCCACGATGTAGAAAAAACAACATTGGATTTGCTGTAAATACAAGGGAATACCTCGAGGAATAAATATTGTCAGTAACCTTGGGAACGCCGTTAGTTCAAAAGGAAAGTCTTTATAGATATTTGCACTCCTGGCAAGTTTGTCTGAAGTCATTTTATCACACTACAATTGTTTGTTTACTTATAGTTGACGATGTTTGTTGATGTAGAGGTTAACGATTACTGTAAGTGCAGTGAGACAATGTGGCTTACAGGAAATTACAAACAACGTCAAGCTTTTGACCACACTCCGCTGTAGTAATGACTTAACACTACACACAGAGAGGATCTGGACCGGAAATGGCCACTAGATGGAGCCGAGTCTGCCTTCAAAGTGCGACTCTGCACCTGGGTATGGTGCCCATGTTCTGCCTATGTCATCAATACATGTAAAACTTAGACCTGTGTAATTAGACCTATCATTAACTGCTAAATTGGCACACACAATAACATTTGAACTAGCAGACCAACAAACGATCATTTTAGGGATGTAAGTCAAATTTGCTGGCACTGCTATTCAGTCGACGTAGTTTCCCTTTTACAAACCTCATGGATCAGATAGTTAAATATTGCTGGCGACAGTGCCGATAGCCGTACTTACATTATCGAACATGCGGTATGTAGTCGTCATGTATTGGTCACATGTTTGCGACTGCTGGGTCCTGTTGAATAAGGTGCACGTGAAAGGTGCATCACGTGACAATCGGAGAGATTCACACTGAGCATGCGTAGAACAAGCAACTGCGCACTGAATACGCGTGTTAACCTGCGTCTCCGCTATCTGGAAGTCCGAGTACTTAGATGCTAAGATACACTGGAAAACCTCCCCGAAAGTGGCTGTCTCGATAGATCCGTGGCAGCTTCTCGCCAGAACACTCACAGCTAGGATCACCAGGAACATGTCTGCAAAATGAGAGTGTGGTTTAGGTTTAACAGTATTTCAGTTAAATCACGGCGTGTCAGCTTAATGTGGAAGTAAAGCAGAATAATTGATTAAACCCTTTCCATAACCATAAAAATATCTGTCCATTTTGCGATTCCGACTTTATAATGAGCTTGTGTTTATAAATCACCGTCAAATAGTGATGGTGCCAGGTGTTCGCCTAAAGGTGAGCGTATCCTGCCCCACAACCGTCACAAACACATGCAAGTCAAGTCAACTGTAATAACACGGGAAGATTGGTACATGTCAAAATAGGGCATTGCATTAGACATTTCGGTCGCTGATGCGTTTTCAGATTTACCCACATCATGTCTACCAAAACTCTTTTTGAAACTTCGTGTCGTTACCGTTCTTTAACCACCTCCACAAAGTGACGTAGTACGTGACGTCTACCCGCAAGTGACGAAGTTCGTGGCATTTACCGCATTTGACGTCGTTCGTGACGTTTACCACCAGCTGACGTAGTTCGTGACGTTTATATGTCAGAAAGACAAACTGCAATCAGGGAGAATCTGATATTTGAATTCCTAACCAGCGTATCCTGGTACGTCGAAGGGACACAACTCCGTATAGAGAGATTTGGCGGCCTAGGTCGTTCGAGATGATAAGAGATGGGGCACAGTTTCTTGAAGTGTGAATGTACCTATATCAGAGCGACAAGAGGGCGCTTCAGGGCCTTTTACGGTCTCGTTAGCGTCTTATCTACGGCCCAGGACCAGGACCCGTGAAGATCCGGGGTAGAATAGGTCTTAAGCAACCCATGCTTGCCGTAAAAGGCGACTATGCTTGTCGTAAGAGGCGACTAAAGGGATCGGGTGGTCTGACTCGCTGACTTCGTTGATGCATGTCATCGTATCCCAATTGCGTAGATCGATGCTCATGATGTCAATCACTGGATTGTCTGGTCCAGACTCGATTATTTACAGACCGCAGTCATATAGCTGGAATATTGGTGAGTGCAGTGTTAAACCATAAATAAACAAACTTGCCACGTGCGGATGGGATACCTATCTGAAAACACAATATCCCGCCAGCTTCCAACACCGTTCTGGATACAAGATGTGTCCAGATATATGACTGACAACTTCTGGATATTCGTGTGTGCAGTGACATACATATATTGTAAGGCATGTTACTTATTGCCGGAGCAATTTATTTGACCATTTGTGATTTAGAAACCTAAAACTGTTTATTGCAATACATTTTTCATTTGTTAATTACTCATTGATTTTGTGTGGTCATTTAAATGCTGATTTCACAATTTAGTTCTGTACGTATCGATTTCTTGGTTAATCTTTGCGTTTCAATTTGGAAACCACATCACAACAATAACCTTGGCAAAGGTGTAACAATGAAACTGATAGCCGTGCCTGTAGACGCTCAACGATGTTGATACAGATAATTTTCACGAACTTTCAAAACTCGCCTCTAACATAATTGAATATATCCAGAATCATAATAAAAGGAGTTCAATAAACGGCGAACAACTGGGCTCCTTTTGGACACCTCGTCTAGAATATTAAAATTGCGTTTCTAGTTTGATGAAACATAGGAGTGTATCTTTATTTCTCAAATTTGAAACATTCAAACATGAATCTTTCGTCATATCGCTTTATCGTCTCATATTATCACTGTGTCGTCTCGTGTTATCGCTTGTCTGCCCAAAACACGAGAACGCGAGTTTTGGCCCACGTCTCGCGTTCTCGCGATCTCGCATTCTCGTGTTTTCCTACAAATTGATCCGTGAGAATTTTGTTTTAATGAATATGCTAGCCGTGTATGCTGATTGCCTCATGGAGAAACTCACTGACCTGTGAATATTTCTTTAATTGACGGTGTTGCATTTGGGCATATTTCGCTCGATTCCAAATGTCGAGATCGCTAGAATGTCCAATATATTATTCCATATTCAGTCGTTTACATCTCCACTAGATATCTGTCCATTTACTTTATTCTGATAACGAAATACAAATATGTTTATGTTGAATTTCATCACCCAGTGACTGAAAATGATAGGATTAAAGGACAACCAAAGTCAATATATATTTTTTTTATTTTTGGCTTCTAATCCTAGCATAGTTAATCTATTGTGATGTTTTTAAGCCCTTTTGAACTTCTTAATAATGGTCACTCAATCTGTGAAATAAATGGACAGATTTTTCAGTAAATTTGTCAAATGAAATATTTAAGCATTTTGTAAACTGCCTAAGTGAATCACATTTTATACAATGACTGATTTTATACATTGGCATATTAACATACATAAGACTCAGTACTCACACTTTTGAATAAAGAAAGTTTTCAGTCTCACTAACCGTCGTTCGTTGCTGTAACAGCCCCGCCAAAAGTACACCAAGCGACGAAACTGAAGGTAAATGTTTCTGAAGATACTATATGTATAAGGAGTAACACGCTAAAACCTACCTCGTCACCTTTTCGTGTATATCTCGCACCCCCGCTTAGACGTGCGCTCGATATCGTTTTGCCCTGACGATTATCAACACAGTGGGTATTTTTCTCCATATAATTTATGCTGATCTTGTCTCACGCATATATTTTAAAATACGAAATATACTACTTCCGGTTCTTTAGGTTCCCAATCCCATTTTTACTCTTGTTGAATATTTTGTGTGACCAATGGCCAAACAACAAACCTAAAGCCAGAGACAACATGGTAACCGTCAAGGACTGGCGTATATTCCAAAACACATTAATTTGAAGCTATTGCCGCCAGCAGTAATATTCGTTTTACCAGCATTTGTTTATCGATATTGAAATTTTTCGTCAAAAGAATTATTAATTTGCTGCTACAGTTATGCCTCAAGGCGAACGTTATAAAAGAGGTTCTATGCTCAAAGATGTGTTGTTTATTGTCAGCAGAGACCTTAAAATAGAACCTATTACTGTCTCTGTAGTCAGTACAGTCCTAGACGTTGCAACTAAGACCCTGTGTGAAACAGAGCCATTTACTGAATAATGGTCTGCAATAACTGTTATACTGTTATGCTTCATACCATGTTAAAGACCTGTGAAGATCCGGGGTAGAATAGGTCTTCAGCAACCCATGCTTATCGTAAAAGGCGACTATGCTTGTCGTAAGAGGCGACTAACGGGATCGGGAGGTCAGGCTCGCTGACTTGGTTGATGTATGTCATCGTATCCCAATTGCGAGGCTCGCTGACTTGGTTGACGTTGATGTTCATGATGTCAATCACTGTATTGTCTGGTCCAGACTCGATTATTAACAGACTGCCGTCATATGACCGAGATGTTAATGTGAATATGCAAAGCTTTGTACGTAACCGAAGGCCTTAAATACAATAAATATCTTTGACTCTGACAATTAACCTGTACGTATTACGTGTAGACGTCCACATTGAAACAAAAAGTTACCCCAGAAATCTTTACGTAAAAGAATTCAGAGTGAAACAAACAAGCAACAAAGAAATGGTATACAATTAACCATTGTATTTTAAAATTAACTAGGTTCACAAATCAATACAAATTACTGCACAGAAATTACGATGACAGTACACAATAGAGTGGCAGTACAAAATTCAGTGGCAGGACATATACAATGGCAGTATAAAGTATGATGGCCGTGGTAATTAGGTTCCCCTAGCAGCAACAGTGCTAAAGCTTCCAAAAAAAAAGCTTAGGCTGAATATTCAGGGTTACAATCATTTTCACAAATCCGCTGGTCCTGATTTAATGTGAGATGAAATGTGAGATGAGAGAGGCATGCGTTTGCCCATTTATGATATAGTCTAAATGCCTTCTATAAATTTCCATATCATTCTTGATTAGTCTATAGCTGTTCTGAAAGATTCCAGCCCATGCATGATTGGTCTATAGATGTTCTCGAACATTCAAGGCCCTGTTGGATTTCAAAAGCATCTAAATATAGTAACTTCCACACCACTGCTTATATTAGATAGTACTACATTCTTGACAACTAGCACTTATCAAAACACATTGCTGTGAACTCCTACTGAATCTCAACAGAAACAATGTAATACAATTACAACACTGCTAAATAACAATGTAAAATATTATGTTTATTAAGTATTATGTATAATCTTGTAACAATCATACTATACCAGGATGCTTCTTAATGTAAATCTGTTGAGTGTGAACGGCAATATAATTGATGTACATTTTATATTCAACTTATGGGAAATAAAAACATGAAAAAAGAAAAACGAAACTCCCCATAACACTAATACACTCGAGTTCTAGACACCTAACATAAGACAAGAGACAGGTGCACGGATGCAACAAAGGCTCAGTTAACTACAACAAAACATACCGTGAAATCAGTTTTTAATTCTAAGGGGACAGATACGTGAATTTGCAACAAAACTGCCTCCCATACTTTCACTCATGAGGCAACAAATATGAAACGCTAACGTCAGAGAATAATCAGTCTCGAGTAGCTGCCGAAACTATGGAAGCGTATTAGTGCCACAAAATATGGTATATATAAGTCCCAAGCACGAGAATCTGATGGCACACAAGTTCAGTAGCGTGTATGGCCAACATGTGCGTTGACAACTGCCACACAACGCCTCCGCATGGACCTTGTGATGCTTGTGAACACATTATCTGAAGACAATACGTTGCCATTACTGTTTAAATACACAATAAGGGCCCACAATGATAACTGGTCAAAATGTTAAAATTTTAGG